GCGCACCAGAGTAACGCGGCGGGCCGGACGCGCCCTCCGGCGACGCTCCATCGGCGCGGCACCGACGCAGGCTCCCACGGCAGTCGGCGGGCTGCCGAGCAGTCAACGAAGATCACGGAGCATTCGGCTCTTCGCGGAGGAGGTCGTCCCAGCAGACCAGCTCATTCAGCTTGTTCCCACGTTAGACCACCAGCTCCCAGTGCCCACCTCAGACCGGAACCTGTCATCCACAGCTGCTCACTCACTTCTCACCAAAGTGGGGCAGACTTCAAACATGGAGCAACTACAGATTGCTATTGTTAGAGGCAGCGTAAGAGAAAAAAATGGTAGGTAATAAAAACAATACCTGCAAGGAAGACACCCGAAAGTTTATAATCATCCGAAAGCTTTAAGTATTCCTAAAGAAACAAAGAGAAACATTCCAAGTCAGAACTGAGGCAGCTGAAAGGTGGGAATATTTTTTGTTCGTAGCTACCAAACACAAAACAGGAAATTCTTTCAGCACTGCAGAATAAACAAAGAGCACATACATACAAGCTGCTATCTTGTTTTTTCACACAAATTATTTCATAGTATTTTGCAGTAGCAACATAATAAACATAAGCAATTTCACATTAGTTCTTAGCAAGTCTAAAATTTCAGATGCCCTATCAAATTACCAAAACATAAACAATTACTCGGTATCAATTTAGCTACAGTAACAGAGCACACACACACTCTCAGCCGATCAAAAGGGAAAATAAGTTACCAAAAATGCCGTTCACTGAGGCTGAGGTCACATACTTCCAACAAAAAGTTTAAGACACAGTTGTGTCTGACAGAGAAGGTAAAATTCGGCAACAAATTTTTCAGTTTTTAGGAGACGTACTAATCAGATGCTATCTTAACTTTAAATTACCTTTACCCAGCAGCATATTAACATAAACTTACCAACAACATTATGGTTCTTCAAAAAAGAACAGAGAACATATCCCCATTAAAGCTAGAAAAGTCTAACCTCAAATTAATGTACATATAATCACAATGACATCATACAAATGAATTCCTTAATAACTGGACTTAGTTCCCTGATAAAAAAATCCGATGCTCAATGCAAAGCACTCGAGCCACCTTCCCACGCCCCAGTAAAAGTAGCTGGTCAGGAGAAAATGTTCGCTTCTTCCTATGCACTCCAGAACACAAAGACACTCTCAGCTGACACTACTGTAACAAAAGGTCGCTCATTTCAACAAAATCTAGGTATAAAAGAATATCTTAAATAATGTAGCAGCAGCAGCAAGAGAGAAACGCATGCATATAACAGTTTATAATCATAAACTGATTTGGAAATCAAAGACGATTTAGGTTCCAGGGCTCCCACATGCTACTCCCAATCTCTTTTGCTTCAGCTCCTCCTGCGACCCAGAGTCCCCTGCTCTTTCCCCAAAATCTTGTTCTGCCAGCCGCCAACCCTCAGACACCCAGCACAATTCCCGGTCAGCTTTTTTCCTCTAAAAACTGCTCCCAAAGCCATATTCTTTAATCCCCCTCCCCTCACCAAGCCCTCCCAGAACACCCACCTCTTACTTCCATCCTAAATACTTCCATTCTTCAAGACGTAGGTTTTGCCACAAAACACCCCTGCTTTCCTCACATCCTTTTCTCAAGTTTTTCCTTCCCTCCCTGAACTCAAACCCACATACTTGCTGCAGCTGTTCCAGCCACTGCCCATATAAAAATTGTTCCTGCTGTTTCTGTCCACAGACAGTGCTCCATTTTGCTAACCATCACTTCTAGTGACGTCCGCTGTTGCTTGACTGACTCTGACCATAACTTCAGAAACACAGAAGATAACACCCCACGGATCTAAACCTTGGCAGAATTTGGTCACTTCTTACCACAACTGTTTTGAAGGCCTTAGTCCTGTAAGCTATATTAAGGCCTTTACAAGTAAACCGCAGGCACAGAACTCCACGGGATGCAAGACAGGCTGCCAAAGAGACTAAATGAGGAAAATTCATGTCTCCTCCAGCTCCATGGGTAAGAATTACTCCATATGTTGATTTCTTCTCTGGGACAGAAAAGATTGCATCAAGATCTTTGTTTCCAAAAGGTATTTTCACTTTAACCTAGAAATGAAACAAAGAACAATATAATTACAAAAAAAAAAAAGACGTTCCCAGTCTGCACATCCTGATGAAGAAAAACCAGACAATTGAAGAAACCAAAATCGCAAGTCCACTTCCATTTCTTCTGCTGAAGAGTACTAAATGAGTAACTCTACCCCTGGCTCAAAGATCTTCGACGTAGTAATGGGCAAGTCACCTTCTCGCTCCACATCCTATTCTCTCCGTCAGAAAATGCAGCATCCCTAGCTTCAAAGGATGCCTCAGGGCACAAACTGCAATACCTTCTCTATGCACCTACATCTCACCATTCGAGAGCCGCACCCGCCATGAGGATTAAGTCTTCCACAAGAAGAAAAACTAACTTTTCTG